GGAACACCTTTTAGGTTCATCCTTTTGAGTCTCTACCATTTTGCCAAAGGACGAAAGAGACATGTTCGCTAAAAAAGACCGCGACCAATACAGCTAGAGTGTGTGTGCGTGTGTACCTGCGCGCGCCAAACGCCTGCATAGAGCGAAGGACACTCGTTACGCGCGTGCTGAATCTCGTCAAGCACCGCGCGAGGGTGGTGCTGAATTCATGCAAAGATTATAACAGAAAACTTTCCCTCAGATCGGGGAAAAAAGTGTCAGGGCAAGGGCCTCGCGTTTCGAGTTCGCACAGGGCCTCGCACCCCCCTTGGAACGGGCCTGCCAAATACCTCCATGCTCCACTACTGAGGAGGCCTCTGGGCGCTGCGAGGAAACGAGAAGGGTCTGTCTGCGGCTTTGGCAGTACGGAGCGTGTCCGAGAAGTAGGCGTGTCGGGTAGAGACGTCCACTACCCGACACGCCTACTACATGAATTTTTGAATACACTTGAACTTCTGCACATTATATCCGATGAAGAGAAGACCATGGCAGACGCGTACGCAAAACAGTAAGTGTCAACCAACAACGTGGTTTTATTAATTTTTAGCCGGCACTCCAGTTACAGTGTATTAATGAATAAAAATGCACATCACCCTGACTAGAAAGGTTTTTCTAAGAAGTGAACTAAATACATTTCAGAGAAAGCAATTTTGTAGGTTCTTCTAAGAAGTCCCATGTGCCATCGACAGGTCAGGTACATAGTAAATAATAGGTACATAGTATAATCTATACTATATAATATAGCCCAAGTCATTTGCATCGTTAAAATGGGTATTACGGAGAAAAAACATAACTCTTTTACATGATTTTCCAAGAACAGTGGGAGAATTAGATAGGCAATTATGTGATGTAGCTCACCGATGTTTTCCTACACATTACAGAAGTCACTGACCATAGTTATTGGGATGAATGTTCCATGATAATGTGTGTTTCTGAGTGTGCACAAATGGATGTTTATGTCTGCTTTCAGTTGCATCCACTATTGTCATGATGGGAATCATGCTCCAGTGTCTGAAGCAGGGGAACACCTCACGTGTGTAACCTGTTTTTAAACAATGGCGAGAAGCACAAATGCTCATCACGTGCAAACCCATGAAATGGCATCTGTTTGACATGGGCTATGTTTAAAAAAAAAAATTAACTTCGAATCCAAGGTGTTTGCAATATTGTACATTGTTTTCTTTAAAGTGATTGTCTAGAGATTGTCTGAATGAGAGACAGAGAGGTACTTGGATTTGAAAAAAAAAACAACCCAAGCTCCTCCCCCATCCTTCTGAATTGTCCTACACGCTCTTACCGTAATTATAGGCATGATTTATATAATGTTATTTGATTACAATTATGTAGGCCCGACGCCCACCAGCAGGCACAGGGCACTATTGAATGAAAGTGTGGCATAATCACTGAACCCCCCTCAAACATAACATTCATGGTACCTGTTTCCTGGACGTACACTGTACTAAAAACTCTTGCATTGCAACTTTGTTGAGACAGACCATAAAAGTCCATAAGTGCAAGTCACTGACAATATATTAAACCGGCCACAACACCGTTTTAGGGCTGCATTTGTTTTGAAGAACGTGTTGTTTGAATGTAACACAGTTTACCTTATCTATGTGACAGTTCACACTCTGGCCGAGGGCATATCACCGCCTCAGCATGAGGCATTGAAAAATTCATAAAGGGGCCAAAAAAAAAGTATGAACCATGGTAAGAATTATTTAAAATTTGATGACAATATTTCACTGTGCACTTGCACAATCTAAATCTTGATTGTTCTTTATGGACAGTGGTTTACAATGATTGCAAATGATCTGGTGAGGCATTTACAGAGAGGCAGCAGGAGGCTGAAAGCTTTCCAAGAGAGATGGAGATTGGCGCGCTCCACCCCCCCTCTGGAAGCCTTTCACTCAGATTATAAATAAAAGAGAATTTTGTTTTGTGTTGAAACTTATTCAGTGGTCTACATTTCAGAGCCATTCAGATAACACAAATCATAAAAAAGCATGTACATTACAGCCAGAAACAATTTGTTCCTTTTTGTTTAATCTCCCTCTTCTACATACAAATATGACAATCACAAGAAGTAATGAATGTCTGCTTGTCCCAAAAGTCCAAAAGTTGGGCCCAAAAATGTTATGGCAGGTTCTCTTTATGATCAGTAATGTGGAGACCCATGGTGTAGGAGTGTGTGGTGGTGGTGGGGTGTAATAATATCTTTAACTTGTAATGTACTTTTCAATCCTGTGTTACAAGTTTCTCAAAACGCCACACTACGTTATTTCATTTTATTCCACACAAGTGTCACAGCTGGGTTGGAGGATGCAGCTACTAATCTGTGCTATTGGCCACCACCAAGCAGTCTCTCACTATGTCCACACATGTGGGTGAAGTGCATTGCTCAAGAACATACCAGACTGCACTTGGGGCAGGCCAGATTTGAGCCACCAACCATAGCCCTTTTATAAATGAATGTACACATTAGACATAATCACTGCATTATTTGACGCATTAACTTTTGTCCTTAGCTGCTTCAAATCCCTATTGATTGATATCTGAAGTAATGGCACGTTTGTAGGCAAATTTACTAACTTTGATATTTACAAAATCGTCCATTTTCCACCAATAAATAAGATTGACAATGACATGCCCATAAAATTCATTATTGCCATAAATTCATTGGGGCATAGATAGTACTCACTACTACTCATACCCGTATTATACATAGATTCCATGCTCATGACACGCGGAGTGGGCGTGTCGAGTAGTGACGTCTACTACCCGACACGCCCACACTCGCCACCTCCGTACTGCAGGCCGCAGACAGAACACTTGAAAAAGTCTTAAAACTCTTAAATCGATCTAATCCCAAATTAAGACACTTGTTTTCCCCTATTTCAGCATTTGTTAGACTATGTTTCTCATCACTTTTCACTCTATGTTCGGCTCTGGCCCTCACAGAACGCTCCGGGTCGAATCCTCTCCGATCTGTTGACATCATAGCTAGACCCGCCCCTTGTCAATCACACCAAACCACAAAACCACACCAATATTATTTAAAAAAATGGACTTTATGCCAAGTGAGAATCGGACTTTGTGGACACATTCGTACAGCGGCAGCCGTAAGAGAACCGGTCAAATAATGATCGTTAAGAAAGAAACACAATCCTAGCAAGAAGAACACAACCCAAGGATCCTGTTTTTTTTTTTTCGCACAAACCCAACATGAGAACAAGGGCTTTCCTGTTATCACCAGAAAATGGAGTAAAAATATTTTATCAAAAACTCCCAGACAATTCCCTTTATTCTCGCATCGTAGAGAGGGAGAGGAACTTTGTTTTAAAATGACGTAAATTCATAGTGGTTAACCATGGAAACGGTGAGAGCCTTCCATTCAGTCGCAAAAAACACATATAAAAATATACCGCAATGCAGAGGTTTTGAACCGGGCCACCGCGGAAAAGGTGAGATTATAGAGCCTTTGAAAGTGAAAAGGAAAAGTATAACACGGCTCAGTGCTTTTGTACCAGTGCTAAAAGTTTTATTCATAAATTTGTATACAAAATAAAACACTGAAATGATAAATGAGAATCGAAACGGAACCTCATTTGAAACTATATCTGATTATTTGTGTTTTTTATGTTAAGATGTAGTTTAGGAGAGAATTACTATTTTCACTTTTTAGACCAGAGAGAGACCAGAGAACCAAGAGAGACCAAGAGAGAGACAGAAGAGACCAAGAGAGACCAGAGAGAGACCAGAGAGAGGCCAGAGAGAGGCCAGAGAGAGGCCAGAGAGAGAGGCAGAGGAGAGACCAGAGAGAGACCCGAGAGAACACAGAGAGTGAGACCAAGAGAGAACCAGAGAGAACCAAGAGAGACCAGAGAGAGGCCAGAGAGAGAGGCCAGAGAGAGACCAGAGAGAGACCAGAGAGAGACCAGGGGGGGGGAGGGGGAGACCAAGAGAGAGGCCAGAGAGACCCCGAGAGAGGACCAGAGAGAGGCCAGAGAGAGAGACCAGAGAGACACCAGAGAGACATCAGAGAGAGAGCCAGAGAGACCAGAGAGAGACCAGAGAGAACCAGAGAGACCAGAGAGAGAGACCAAGAGACACCAGAGAGACACCAGAGGAGAGACAGAGAGAGAGACCAGGGAGAGAGACCAGAGGAGACCAGAGAGAGACCATAGAAGACCAGAGAGAGATACAGAGAGAGAGACCAGAGAAGACCAGAGAAGAGACAGAGAGAGACTCAAGAGAACCAGAGAGAGACCAGAAGAGACCCAGATAGGAGACCAGAGAGAAGACCAGATAGAGACACTGTGTCTGTTTTGATTTTCTGATCCGGTGTCAGACGATCGACAACTTGGTAAAGTCCTTGCACGAGGCCTAAAAACATAAATAGAATTGTTGTGAAAAATTAAAAACAGTTTATACATTATTATTAGAAACTTAAAGCTGCTGAACCTAAAGTTTTGTTTCGAGACTGAAAATTGATTGTTGTCGCGATAGAAAAAGTGAGAGAAATGTGTTTATTGTGGATAAATCCGACGTCATCTCCCCAGGTCTTTTGTGCTGACGTGATCCAACATCCCTGTGAGTCACTAATTTTGACCCTTTGGGCTCAGACAGAAAATAAGGATTAGATTTTTTACATGACTTTGGAAAATAGAGACCACAGCTTTAATCTCGCACCAATGTTAATGCTATAAGAACCACTGGAAATCTCTGAGGAGCACAGGGATTTGGCCTCCGCAGTGACTCTGAGGACACAGGGACTGGCCTCCAGGCTGGGACTCTGAGAGCACAGGGACTGGCCTCCTGCTGACTCTGAGGAGCTACAGGGACCTGGCCTCCCTGCGAAGACTGAGGAGCACAGGGACTGGCCTCCTGCTGGGACTGGGAGCACAGGGACTGGCCTCCTGCTAATACTCGGAGGACACAGGACTGGCCCCTGCTAAGACTCAGAGGAGCACAGGGACTGGGCTTCCTGCTGGACTCTGATGAGCCAGGGACTGGCCTCCTGCGAAGACTGAGAGCACAGGGACTGGCCGCCTGCCTGGACTCTGATGACACAGGGACTGCCTCCTGCTGGGGACAGAGGAGCACAGGGACTGGTCTCCGGCTGGGACTCTAGGAGCACAGGGACTGGTTCTCCTGCTGGACTCTGAGGAGCACCAGGGACTGGCCTCCTGCAAGACCTGAGGAGCACAGGGATGGCCTCCTGCTGTGGACGCTGAGGAGCACAGGGACTGGCCTCCTGCTGGGACTGAGGAGACAGGGACTGGCCTCCAGCTGGGACTCGAGGAGGCACAGGGACTGCCCCTCCTGCTGGGTCTGAGACACAGGACTGGTCTCCTGCTGGGACTGAGGAGCACAGGGACTGGTCTCCTTGCTGGGAGCTCTGAGGAGGCACAGGGACGCCACCTGCTGGGACTAGAGGAGCACAGGGACTGGCCTCCTGCTGGACTCTGAGGAGCACAGTGACTGGCCTCCTGCCTGGGCACTCCTGAGGAGCACAGGACTGGCCTCCGGCTGGGACTCTGAGGAGCACAGGGACTGGCCTCCTGGCTTGTTCCCAAGTCAGGACTAAACATGGGAGGCAGTGTTTCAGATTTATGCAGTTAAAAAAAGTCTCCCAGAAAACGTGAGACGGGCAATATTCAATAATCCAGTTAAAAAACAGATTTTTATCCTGCCTTTCTGATTTAAAGCCTTGTCTAGTGAGTTGCCGAGTGTGGACTGTGCTATACCAATAACCTTGCCTAAATGCAAAGGGTTTATGAACATATGAAATCAGTGACTTTTCCGCGTGGCTCGCACCAGCATTTTGTGTTACAATTTGAGTAAACTTCTGACCATCAAAACGACAGGAATAAAATAACATATGAACATGTAAGATACGGATACAGTGTAAAAAATAAAAGAATACAGAATACATACTTGAACTGAACCATTAACCGAACCATAGAACAGAACCATGAACAAACAATGAACCCGCTCAGAGCAGAGGAGTCAATCTGTGTCCGTCCTAAAAACAACAAGTTCCACAACCTGGTCTCTCCCCTGTCTCTCCCCTGATCTCTCCCCTGGTCTCCAGTCCCCTGGCTCATCGCACCTGGTCTCTCCCAACCTGGTCCCTCTCCCCTGGTCTCTCACCCTGGTCTATACATTCAAAATCAAACGTGGGGAAAACACAAAGATGCTACTGTGATTTCCGTGGACACCAAAAATGGCGCTGTGCCCTAGAAGCATTCCACTCCCCCAGGCAACAAACGCTTTCTTCCTTCTACAAGTACCTTTCTCCAGGACGACGCAGCCAATCAGAGGAAGGTGCAGTCAAGGCCAGACACCGGAGCACGCCGTCCATGTGGATTGGAACTCTTTGGGACCAGATGTGAAAATTTGTTGTATTTTAGGACGACACAGAATAGACTCCTCAGCTCTGACGGTTCATGGTTTCTGTTCATGGTCTGTTCTCATGGGTTCTGTTCAGGGTTTCTGTTCACCTTATGTTTTCTGTATTCTTTTATTTGTTACACCTGTATCCGATCTACATGTACATATGTTAATTTTATTCTGTCGTTTGATGGTTCAGAAGTTTACTCAATTTGTAACACAAAAAAACGGTGCTAGCCCACGCGGAAAAGTCACTGATTGTCCATCATGTTCATAACCCTTTAGCATTAGGCAAGTTATTGGTATAGCCACAGTCCACACACGGCAACTCACAAGACGAAGGCTTAAATCAGAAAGTCAGGATTAAAATGCTGTTTTTAAACCTGGATTTGAATATGCCCGTCTCAGAATCACGTTTTCGGGAAGACTGTTTTTAGGCTGCATAAATCTGAAACACTGAAACCCAACCTTGGCTCCCCATGTATTAGTCCTGACTCTGGACCACAGGAACCAGTCCCTGGGCTCCTCAAGAGTCCCAGCAGGAGGCCAGTCCCTGTCTCCTCAGAGTCCCAGCAGAGGGCCAGTCCACAGCAGCAGGAGGCCAGTTCCCTGTGCTCCTCAGTCCCAGCAGGAGGCCCAGTCCCTGTGCTCCTCAGAAAGTCCCCAGAGTCCAGTCCCCTGTGCCCTCAGCAGCAGGAGACCAGTCCCTGTCTCCTCATTCCCAGGTAGTCCCTGTGCTCCTCAGATGCAGGAGGCCATCCCCTTCAGCAGCCCGTGCTCCTCAGAGTCCCAGCAGGAGGCCATCCCTCCTCAGTAGCTTAACGCAGGAGGCAGTCCCCCCTGTGCTCCTCAGAGTCCCAGCAGGAGACCGTCCCTGTGCTCCTCAGCAGGAGACCAGTCCCTGTGGCTCCTCAGTCCCAGCAGAGGCCAGTCCCCTGTGCTCATCAGAGTCCCAGCAGGAGGCCAGTCCCTGTGCTCCTCAGTCTTAGCAGGAGCAGTCCCTGTGGCTCCTCAGAGTCCCAGCAAAAGGCCCAGTCCCTGTGCTCCTCAGATCCTTAGCAAGGCCAGTCCCTGTGCACCTCAAAGAGGTCCTTAGAAGCAGGCCAGTCCCTGTGCTTCCTCAGTCCCAGCAGGAGGCCCCAGTCCCCTGTGCTCCGCATCTTAGCAGGAGTCCAGTCCCTTGCTCCCTCAGAGTCCCACAGGAGGCCAGTCCCCGTGCTCCTCAGAGTCCCCAGCAGGTAGGCCAGTCCCTGTGCACCTCTGAGTCACAGCAGGAGGCCAGCACCCTTTGCTCCTCAGAGGTTCACGTGGTCCTTATAGCATTAACATTTGGTGCGAACTAAGCTGTGGTCCTCTATTTTCCAAAGCTCATGAAAAATCTAATACTTATTTCTTCTGAGCCCAAAGGGTCAAAAATAATGACTCACAGGGACTGTGGATCACGTCAGCACAATGACCTGGGGAGATGACGTCGGATTTATCCACATAAACACATTTCTCCACTTTTTCTATCGCGACAAACAACATGTCAGTCTCGAACACAAAACTTTTAGTCAGCCAGCTTGAAGTGTCTAATAAAAAATGTTTAAAAACTGTTTTTTCATCACAACAATTCAGATCTATGTTTTTAAGCCTCGTCAAAGGACTATTACCCAAGTTGTCGATTCGTCCGACTCACCCGGATCAGCAAAATCAAACAGAACACAGAGGTCTCTCTCTGGTCTCTCTCTGGTCTCTCTCTGGGCTCTTTCTGGTCCTCTCTCTGTCTCATCTCTGTGTCCTCTCTGGGTCTCATCTCTCTGGTCTCTCTCTGGTCTCTCTCTCTGGTTCTCTCTCTCTGGTCTCTCTCTGTCTCTCTCTGGTCTCTCTCTGGTCTCTCTCCCTGGTCCTTCTCTCTCTGGTCTCATCTCTCTGGTGTCTCTCTGGTGTCTCTCTGGTCTCTCTCGTCTGTCTCGTCTTGACCCTCACTCTGGTCTCTCTCTGTCTCTCTGGGCTCACTCTCTGATGTCCTCTTCTGGTGCTCTCTGGGTCTCTCTCTCTTGGGCCTCTCGCGGTCTCTCTCTGGTCTCTCATGCCTCTCTCTCTGGTCTCTCTCTGTCTCGTCCACGGTCTCCTCTCTGGTCCTCTCTGCCTCACTCTCTGCCTCTCTCTGGTCTCTCTCTGGTCTCTCTCTGGTCTCCTCTCTCTGGTCTCACTCTCTGGTCCCATCCCCCCCCTCTACTGGCTCTCTCTGGTCCTCTCTCTGCCTCTCTCTCTGGCCTCTCTCTGGCCTCTCTCCTGGCCTCCTCTCGTCTCTCTACCTCACTGGTCTCTCTCTGGTCTCTCTCTGGTCACTCTCTCGAGGGTCTCTCGGGTCTCTCTGGTCTCTCCTGGGCTAAACCGTGAAAATTGTAATTCTCACATAAAACAACATCTTAACGATAAAAAACATCAAATATCAGATTTAGTTTACAAAGGAGTTTCATTCGAATCTCATTTTAACATTTTCAGGTTTTTATTTTGTATAAATTGTATGAAATAACTTTTGCACAGGTACAAAAGCACTGAGCCGTGTTTATACTTTTACTTTCACTTTCCAAAGGCTCATAATCTCACCTTGTTCCCGCGTGGCCCGTTCAAACCTCTGCATTGCTGTATATTTCTTATATGCAGGTTTTTTGACGACTGAATGGAAGGATCTCACCGATTTCCATGGTTACCACTTTGAAATATACGTCATTTTAAAACAAAAGTCTCCTCCTCCCGCTCTACGATGCAGATTAAAGGGAAATGTCTGGGAGTTTTTGAATAATATTTTTACCCATTTTCGGGCTGATAACCAGGAAAGCCCTTGTTCTCATGTTGGGTTTGTGCGAAGGAATCCTGGGTTGTGTTCTTCTTCAAGGATGTGTTTCTTTCTAAAGGATCATTATTGACGGTTCTCCTGTAAACGGCTGCGCTGTTACGAATGTTCCACAAAGTCCGTAGTCTCCACTTGGGCATAGAAGTGCATTTTTAAATAATATTGGGTTGTTTTTGGTGGTTTGTGCGGATTAACAAGGGGGCGGGGTCTAGCTATGATGTCACAGATCGAGAGATTCGATGCCCGGCAAGCGTTCAGTGAGGGTCCCAGAGCAGAACATAGAGTGAAAAGTGGATGAGAAAATATCTAAAAATGCTGAAATTAGGCAAAACATGTGTCTTATAAATTTGGGATTAATCGATTTAAGAGTTGTAAGACTTTTCAAGTGTATCTGTCTGCGGCCTGCCGTAACGGAGCGTGTCGAGTAGTGGGCGGTGTCGGTATGACGGTCACTACTCGACACGCCCACAAAGTCCGCGTGGATGAGCTTGGGATCAATATATAATACGGGTATGAGTAGTAGTGAGCTACTATCTATGCCCAATGAATTTAGCGCAATATATGAATTTTATGGCGCAGTGTCATGGTCAATATTATTTATTGGGAGAAAATGGAACGAAGTTTCTGTAAATACAAAGTAGTAAGATTTGCCTACAAAAGCTGCCATTACTCAGACAAACAATCAAAGATTTGAAGCACTCAGGACAAAAGTTAATGAGTCAAATAATGCCAGTGCTTATGTCCTAATGTGTACATTCATTTATAAAAGGGGCCTATGGTTTTGGTGGCTCAAAAATCTGGCTCCCCAAGTGCAGTCTGGTATGTTCTTGGAGCAAGCACTTCACCCACAATGTGTGTACATAGTGAGAGACTGCTTGGTGGTGGCGCCAATAGCACAGATAGTAGCCTGCAGCCTCCAACCCAGCTGGTGACACACTGGTGTGGAATAAATGAATAAATTAGTGTGGCGTTTTGAGAACTTTCCAACACCGGATATGAAAAGTACATTACACGTTAAAGATATTATTACACCACCACCACCAACCACACACTCCAACACCCATGGTCTCCACATTACTGGATCATAAAGAAACATGCCATAACATTTGTGGCCAACTTGAGGCCTTTTGGGACCAAGCGAGACATTCATTACTATGTGTTTTGTCAAATTTGTATGTAGAAAGAGAGATGAACAAAAAGAACAAAATTGGTTGTCGGCATTTTAGTACATCATTTTTGTATGATTTGTGTATCTGAATGGCTCTGAAAATGTCAACACTGAAATACATTCAACACAAAAACAAATTCTCTTTTATTATAATCATGAGAGAAAGCTTCAGAGGACAGCCGCCAAGC